AAAAAAAAAAAAAAAAGTACAAGAAAAAGATGCTTGTTCTCATGGGTAAACAACTCTGCCACTGAATCTCAAACACGACAGTATATTAGATTCATCTTTAGGGATTCTAAAAACACAGATGACTGGGCCCAAACCCTGAAGTTTCCAATTTAGTAGTAAAAGATACGGGAATGAAGATGCACATTTCTGGCTGGGCATGGTGGCTCATGCCTATAATCCCAGCACTTTGGGAGGCTGAGACAGGCGGATCATGAGGTCAAGAGATCGAGACCATCCTGGCCAACATGGTGAAACCCCGTCTCTACTAAAAAATACAAAAATTAGCTGGGCATGGTGGCGTACGCCTGTAGTCCCAGCTACTTGGGAAGCTGAGGTAGGAGAACTGCTTGAACCTGGGAGGCGGAGGTTGCAGTGAGCCGAGATCACGCCATTGCACTGCATCCTGGTGCCTGGCGCCAGGTGACATAACAAAACTCTGTCTCCAAAAAAAAAAAAAAAAATTTTTTTTTTTTTTTTTTTTTTAACATTACACCAGACAAAATTTATTTGTCATAATAAGCCATGCCAACCAACATACCATCTATACCCCAAAAATAATGTTAAAAAACTGGAAACAAGTATCTCAAATGAGTCATAATAACCCTTAGCAGACTAAAGGACAAGCACATTGATCCTATTGTGCTACTAATGTCTTTTTCTCAGCCCTGACTTTGGATTTTACTCAACGCCAAATTCTTCTACTACTTCTATAATACAGATCTCTTTTCCCTCTCTTCAGCTTTGGAATTAATGGTCAGCTTGGACCTTGGCATCCCTTATAGATTATCTCAGGGTAACTGGGCATTTTTTTATTTTTTGAAATTTTTCACAGGGAAGTTGTATGGCCACTGTTTTCCAGAAATAAATAGTTTTATCTACCTCATTACAATATACTGGCTGGTAGTTTTTATTTTGACTTTTAAATCATCTTATCTAATCCTCTGAGCAGCATTCTTTTTTTTTAATTTATTTTACTTTTGGTGCATACTATATCTGGCATTTCTCCCCATGTTATCCCTCCCCAGGCCCCAAAGATGTACATTTCTAACAGCATGAAGCAGATGCAGTTGATGATGTTTCAGGAATTACCACAGTAAACTAAAACATATTACAGTAGAGGCTGTTATTTGGGACAGCCTCTGTTATTCCCCACTGTATTCAGAATTGACAAGCAAGGATGTAACATACTTTTGTTCTATAACAGGCTATAAGAGATGATGCTAGTCTTTTTT